TATATTTATTGCTGGTGGTTTGCAGTTAGCCTTTGAAATGGTGCTCCAAGTGCCTCATTTTTATATTATTTAGTCAGAAAAAGTCATAATTTAACTTTGTTTTGCAACGATTATGACATACCAAGGAAGTCTTCCCTTATTTTGCTGTCCAGAAGTTGGGTGAGTCCCTTGCAGAACATTTGGCATCCAAACACTTGAGTATTAAATAGAGCATCTTTTCTCCTTGAGCGGGGTGAAATGCACTGAAGGCTCAGCCCTCCTTCCTTCCCAAATCCCAAACCCTTGGAGAGAGAAGAGGCAGAACAGTTCCTCAAGCCAGCATGAGRCTTTGCTTCAGAGACACTTTAGGAAAAATTCTGGCAGAAATGAGGAACAATTTTTCTTTGTGTTGTTGAACCTTCTCTTCTGGAAAAGACCTGGACCACGGAGATGAAAGATCTTGAACTCTAGATCCGCTGTGGCCGGCTTACAGCAGACCCTCCTCAGATGCCACCATCTGGGATATGCCACCATCTATGGGAAGCAACTTATGTSACAATGGAAAATGTGCTGCCAATGCAACAATCTTTTCAAGAATTGACAATCCTGCTTTAGCACCAGCTGGGCTGTGGCAGGCASTCTGGCCAGGAATAGTGGCAGAAATGTGGGCAAATGCCGAGTGAAATCTCTTCAGTGCCATGCTTGTCCTTCCAGCAGCCCGTGTGGAAGTGGCCGTGAGAGCTGACGGCAGCAGCAAATTCCTCTGCAGGTAATGGTGCTCCAGGCTGCCCCAGCCACCGAGTCTGGAAGGAAAGGGAATCGCTTTGGGCAGATTTGGTGGGTGCACTCATGATTTTATTGACTTTTTTATAGCAACAGAGGTATAAAGAATTGAAGGATCTTTTGCACATACAGAAGAAATCATATTAATTTATGTTAAACTGGAATCTGAAGCTATTAATATACAGCATTTTACCTCCATGGGAAAAGCAATACAAAAGAGACCAGTTCTTTTACATCACTTTGCTCCCAGGAGAGCACACAAGGGGAATCACACCAAACTTCTTGTTGCATTTGCTCTGCTTACTAGCTTGGAATTTTTAMAATTTTTGTATATTAGGCAATATCAAAATGCTGGGACAGAAAAAAAAAAAAGCCTCAAATTATTCCGTAGGCTGTTACAGTCTTATAAATCTAAATAGTAAACTAAATATAAGAGTGCCTGACAGTTTTCTTTAGCTGTGGTAGACATGTATAGTTATGAGCACAATGTTTTTTTCTAGCCATCACTTTACCTCCACAGCAAAAAAGTAATCAATTTACGACATGTCTGGTCGAAACAATGACCCTAAATTAATGATAATAAAAACCAGTCCTACAGGCACTCCCTGGCTTTGTTTTAATTATACAAATCTTAGTTTATGTGCAAAATTTTATTTTAAAATCCTACGGCTCTTGTTCAGGAAGGCTTTTCTTCCTCTTTGGGGAGCTAATTCCTTAACAGAGCTCATGCATAAATATATATGTGCATTAGGCACACCCAAGATCTGTGAATTGATCTTTTGGTCTTTTTACTGCTACAACTACTACTTCTATTATTATTATTATTATTATTATTATTATTATTATTATTAATTATTGTCTTGGTTCTGGTTTATTTTGTTTTACTTAATTTTATTTTAGCTGCTCATGCTTCTACATGTGAGTAGTTCCAAAGTGAGCAAAATTGCTGAGATGGGTATCTCATTTGGGGAAAGGAAGTAGACTTAGAACATGCATAAYTTAATTCAATAATTATGGGGTGCTCTACACTGCCACAGTTTTCCTTGTGCCCTCTTCCTCACCTTTCTTCARCATATACTGTGGCACATCCTGAAAGAGAAATCTCCCACCACCACTCCCTTGATATTGATATAAAGGCAGCTTCACATCTACCCAGATTCTTCCCTTTCCTCAGTAACCATGAAAACACAACATCCATCTTTTCCTGTCTCTGGCTGTGTCTTTGGACTTTCAGCCAGGTAAGAGTATGAGCTATAAATTGAAGTGAATTATACAGCTGGGTAAATAAAGTGAGACGAAAGGGAGTAAAAGGGAAATGTGTTTCCTATCACAGAGTTTAAAAAACAGACTTGGCACACAAGGGGAAAAAACAAAACAGGAAACAAGTTTCTACATATAAATTAAACTTTTTCACCCTCAAACTTTTTAGATAGCTCAGGAGTAATAAGTATGTGTGTTTCTTGGACCAGCAAAGCAAGCATTCCAACACTAAATGGCTTCCTGTTCAACACGTTCAAAGCCAGAGACTGTTTTTGGGGGTTGGTTAGAAATATGTGTGAAGTATGCACTTTTACTTCAGGCCAAATCAAATGTTTTTAATCTCCCTCCCCTCCCCCCCTTCAAGAAAAAAAAAAAGGGAAGAAAAAAAGTCAAAAAAGCAAAATGTGACCAAAGTTTTCTCTTTCACTGAGGAAGTTCAATGATTAGCCTTCAGTTAATGTGTAAATATTCTCACTTCCATGTAAAGATACTTAAAAGGGAGCTGGTCAATGTCATTCTACACTKGTATTTGATGCTGTTGAGCTATAATGAGTAGGTGCATACAGGAGCTGAAGAACTTGGCCCCATGCAAAGACAGGAAAACAGCAAATATTTGAGGGTGCAAAGTGTGTTACAGCATTTTCCCCCATTAGTGTCAAGGCTATAATTCACAAATTATTGATCCGTTTTCTTCTTCTACCACATCAGCCTCAAATATTATTTAGTACTACATTTTGTTTTCCCATAGATCTTTAGGTTTTTGTTTGGGTTTTTTTTTAGGTTTACACAGTTTGATTACACGGCCAAAARTCTAAGTAAGACACATGGGAAAAAGACATGGAACACCATATGTCATAGATGTGCCAAGGTGAGGGGGTTTTCTAGTTCTTCAGTGAAGCCACAGGGTACTTCTTGCAAAAAAAAAGACATCAGAAAAGTGCACTTTTTTTTTTTTTTCTTACAGCTGGAGGGCAATAGGTACATCTAACCTAGACCTCAATTTGTCCCTTTCTATAATTTCCCTAATTACTGCTTCTAGTAACATATTTTCTCCCAGCTCCAAGGAAACAGAAGCCATGTAAGTGGTAGCCAACTATTTTCTTTTAGTATTTTCTTCATTCCAGTGTTTTTGAGCAAACTCAGGTTCTAAACACTGTTCTGTTTCAATATTTGAAGAATGCTATGTACTGAGTGCTGTCCATGCTGGTATGTTGTTGTGAGGCATTGGTCTTGTCTGCTTCTTTTATGCCACCTCGAATGAACTGAGCTGCATACTTTGTTTTGGTTGTTTCTGCCTAATTTTTATGAAAAAATCCAGCCAACCAAAAAAACAACCACCCCCCACTTCCCCCATTGCTAGGCCCTTATGAACACTTATTTTTGGGTTTTCACTTGAAGAAAATGAATGCTCGGGAGAGTCTCCAATCTCCAGTCTCAAATCAGTAAAATTCAACCCCTGTTGATTTGCACCAGAATAAGCAAGGATTTTCTTTAGGCCCTGCCAAATATAGTACTCTTTTCAGAGGTTCTGCTGAAGATAAAACTCATAAAGTTGGTGGAAGTTGAGGAATACTAGATAGACCTCAATGTACTTCAGGATCATACCATACTTATATTCAGAGCTGTTCCTGGGGATGGCCTCTCTCCAGCAGGAGAAACGACCAGTAAAGGATAGGYTTCCCTCCCTGAAAGTCCAGCTTTCCCAAGTAGATCAGCAGGAATTCAGTTTCTACTGCTTCTGGGGCAGATTCTCACTGAATCTTCTTCTGCTACGTCCCTGGAGCACTTAAATTCCATTTCAGTTCAGCTCTTCTACCCTTCAGACTCCTTCCTTCTCACAGGCCTACCCAAAATAAAACCACCATRTTTGTTTTCTATTTTTCTATTTATATCTTGCAACTTTCTTTCCCCTGACCTTCTTCATTAATACTTAAGAGTTTCTGTTCTAGTTCCTGCATACCTAATACCATATTTCTACATATCAGTTATTTTTCTGGCACGTTAAATGAGTCATTACTGAGCTAACGTGAATTCTCAGGAAGGGAAATAGGTTTAGGTACATCCTATGGAAACTTCAGGGTCCAAACTTTCTTTACAGCCATGTTGGCTCACAACAATAATCAGTATTAACACGTTAAAATCCACGGTCATRCACTCTGGTATAATCAATATGTTTCTTGTAACTCAGTCTGTTCTTCTAAAACTGGCTTTTGAAACACAGGACTTTTACTTTCAACAAGAGAAAAGAACGATCTGCAAGATATTGTGAAGATGCACATGGATTTTATGTGTGAGCTGAAGCAGTTACTCCTAAGCTCCCCACAGACACAGTTTTGAGGGAAGACAAGCATGGAGCATGTAAAAAAACCCAAATGAAAGATAGAGAAGGAGAGAGAGAGA